AACTTGTAATTGACTTTATACTGAAGAGGCGGTTATTGTGTAAATGCTAATTAGGCGGCCAGGCGTATGTATCAATTGTTTATTCCCGCTCGTTTCCGCATTAAAAGACGTGTGAAATGACGAAATACCTTTCACAAACAGCTATATATTGCGGTGCAAAACAACTTCTTGTTTATTCTGAGTCACTGCCCTTCCCAGTGAGAAGCTATTGGCATCCTAAGTTCATTAAGAACGAATATCCTCAGAGATTGCCTACCCAGCATTCTGTCCAACTTGAATCGAAGACAGAGAGACAGCGCAGATCAAGAGAAATCTAAACCTCAGGAAAATATAACTTCTGGTAAGGGATTCAAGTAAAACAAATCATGAGGCTGTTGTTTCGGGCTGTTTCTTTTAAAAGCACTCGTTGTTTTTCGAAGGAAAGTTTTGCATGCGATACCTAATCTCAGTAAGAAATTGATGTAAAGGCTTCGTTTGAGGATCGTAGAAGCCTTAAGCAAAAAAAAACAAAACAAAAAGGATCGGAAAAATTGGAAAAATTTGTACGTAAATGAACGGTCCACTTTGGAGCTAAATATCTTCGCTGAGAAGTTTACGCAAAACACATCCTTTAAGATACAAAGATTTTTTATTAATCAAATTAACGATGTTCCACAGAAAGAAAAACTGCCAAGGATGAGTAACGAACAAGCTGTCATTGTGAGAAATTCACAGTCACTCAGCCTACAGGGAGAGAGTTTCTCGTCAGCGAGAAGGACAAGCGATCACCAGGCCCCTATTGGATCTGTGATAACCATCAGTGGAGAGCCAAATACATCGTAAGTTTAGTGTGAAATTCTCTTTTGATTCCTTCATGTAGCCGTTAGTCGGAATAAAATCTTAAGTTTTATTTACTGAAAATGAAGCAAAAATCTGGTCACATTGTTCATGAGGGTCTCATTGAGGTCAACCGTTTGCCGCCGTAAAACAGCAAAACTAATTTATCTATTAGGGTAAAAATGGACAAATTTTGATCGTTAATCCTGAAAAAATTAATTGTGAACATTTTTCTTTTAATGGCAACGAAAAGAAAATAACTGTTAGCCGTGAAGGCCAAAATTTTAACCATCAGCCGTACGTGGGACGACGAACTTGGTACCTCTTAAGTTTTCCACATTATTACGTGCGACAAACAGCTCTTGTTGCAATAGCGTTATCATTTTTATCACTGTTGCTGTTGTTTTACTCTCAATCTTCAAGGATTGGTTTGGACTGACAATGGTCAACAAAAAAAATATATAAAATAAAGTAGTAGGAAAGAAACAGAAACGCGCTTTAAGTACCACATGTCTGTTACTGGCTAATTGTTGTGCGCGACAGAAAAATTAAAATGAAAGCCCACCTGATCTCCTCTGGCTTTTCGTATCCGATTCTTGTGCTGTAACTTCATTCAGCATTGCCCTGCTCGAATGAAGTTTACTCCCGAGTCTACCTGGTTCCTATTGTAGTCGGAAAATTGTACCGAGATTTATCGGTATTAGAATTTTAAAAATCCCTTGACGCGAGAACTGAACGTCACTAATAAGTACAATTTACTTAAAATCAATCTCAGTAGTTATCTGATTAACGCCTCCAAGCAAATTAAGTTGCATGATGGTCTACGATTTTGATTTGCATACGTTCCTGTTTTGTTGTTGTTGTTTAGACTGTGGTTTTTCAGATGCTAAAATGAAAGTTTTTCTGGGTTCAGTAAAAAATTATTTCTGGAAATTTTCATGCTTCTCTCAACTACTACCATTTAGACTACGCGTAGTTCCTGCTTTTTGGCTAAGTCCGACGTGTAAGTCCAAAAATAAAAAAAAATCAGTGAAAAAAGAAAAGATGAAAATTAGAAAGAAAAAACGTAAAGCAATAAAACTGTGTTGGGCTTGCGGCCTGGAGCGGAGAAGGTTATGTATGACTGTGTGCTTGAAAGCAAATCTGGAGTAAATCTTTAAATGTCCACAAGGCGAAGTAAGAAGTGATTGCTTATTTGCTATGAGCGTAGCTGCAAATGACGGTGGCAGTGCATATTTGATATAATAAACCATTTACAAAACGTCACTGAACTAAGCTTAAGAAATATTTTCCAAAGGAATTTGGCAGGCATGTATTTATGGGGAAATTGTTAATTGAGTGTCGAAGGTCATCAATCTGGCTATATGATCATAATGGTACACAGAGTGCATTTTGTTTAAGCGTCGTACTGAACCAAACCCAAAGTTATCATGGTGGCCAAACATAAGTAAGGAAAATATCACGGGGAGTCAATGAGAACACGAATTTTACAAGTAGCCGACGAGAACTCGAATTCAAATAAGTGAAAGAGCCTGAGGGGCGGGAAAAGCAAGTGATCAAGCTGCGTCGGTTTTTGTCTTGCACCTGATTGGTTGAGAAAAAAGCAATAATTTTCATCTCTTACTTGGTGTAGAAGACACCAAGATGTAAAGCAATCGAGACTGAGGAAAAACTATGAATACCATAGGTTATTGAGGCGGTGTTCTATTACGACGTGTTCTGTGTCTTATGTACCAAGAAGGAGCCAAATTTATTACACCTGTCACTGGCCGAAGTCAACTACCTCGCTGAAATTATTTTTGCTTCATTCTTTTTTAGTTTATCCCTCATGCATCATCGCGCTGGAATTGAGAGATCTGCGTTCCATTCTTTTCATCATTTCCCTCCAGGCTTTATCCCTTTCAATCACGGACCCGCCTTGTTCCCTCCCAGTTCCCTGACCTCCCCATACCTGCCTGGACCTCCACACGCTGGCATCCCTGCTTTCGGACCAGCACCAGTACTGTGCGGCGGAAGTGTTCCATTTCCACGATCATACCAGCCCTATATGCACAAGTTCTTAAATCCGGGTGTTATTGGTTCTTCGAGAGTGTCTCCCAGAGAGCACTCCAGTGATGATGGCCCAACGAAATGCCCCGTATGCGGGAAATTGTATGCGCGATTGTCTACCTTGAGACTGCATCTGCGCACCCATAGTGGAGAGAAGCCATACCAGTGTTTGGTTTGTTTGAAGTCCTTCTCTCAAGCCGCCAATCTAACAGCTCATTTCCGCATTCATTCTGGTGAAAAACCATTCAAGTGTCACATCTGCAACCGTCAGTTCTCCCAGTCTTCGTCTGTAACTACGCACATGCGCACTCACAATGGTGAACGACCCTATCAATGCCGTGTGTGCACTAAGGCGTTCGCGGACAGCTCTACGCTCACTAAACATATGCGCACTCACACCGGTGAGAAACCTTACCAGTGCGATGTTTGTTACCAAAGGTTTTCCCAATCGGGGAACCTTAATCGCCACAAGCGAATCCACAATGACATGTGAAAAACAGTGAATAACCTTAAGACAAAATTTATTGTAATATCGATGTATAACCCACCCATTTTATTTCGCGCGATTTTACTGGCTACTTTACGCCACGCTGTGCAACATCATCGGACAGTTATCACGCAAAAACTCCCGTAGTTTTGTGCATATGTTAAAATCATGGTAGCTATTATGTCTATATGATTGTAAAAAATAATATAATGAGTCAGTCAGATGTTTTGAACAAATATATTGTAAACCTATTTGAAATACAAGAGAGATTAATAAACCAGAAATATGGCGCAAGCAGTTTTGTTATCCATGATACTGAATGATTCATTTTAGATTAGTTACAGTGAGCTTTTCTTGTTTTTTTCTTATTCTGAATAAAAGCCAAAACATAAAAAAGATACATCATAGGACTCAGGGTGAACTTCAGAACACTTCACAGAATAATACAGAACAATATTTCGCGTTGACTTCCTTTATTGAGGTTGGTACTTCCCTATATACAGGGGTGTAGCCAGGATTTTTCAAAGGGGGGGTCACAGAGGCTACTCACCATTTACACCGCTGCTCTCCCGCGTGTATCAGCGGGCTCAGTCGTATTATCGCGGCATGAAGGCCCATATCAATGGCTTTTACGGCCAAGATATTGTTATGGCGTTTTCGCCACCTGAATATTGTTGTTTTTTTGCTCTAAAGAAGACCGACCAAGGGGGAGTCACGGGCACCCCAGGACCCCCCTGGCTACGCCCTTGATATAAGCTTTGTAAGAATGTGCCTTCATAGAGGAATGATAGGAAAATAACAGCAGTCAGACTTTATCATTCGATCTAAATCTTTGGGTGATTTCTACCAGTTTCCAACTTCGGCATTGATGCCGAGCGTCCCGGAATGGGCTCGAAGGTAATAGATTCTGTGACGTGGAGTCTTCTTTTCTGAACAAGATACCAAATAAGAGATTAATTACCACGACTGGCAGTAATGTCGCAATCTAATTAGCCAATTTACCATTGAAGGTAAGAGTACAGACAACGCTGCGCGCGTCAGCGTGTCACGCACCGAAATAATCGTTTTATCATTGACGTCGATATTGTGGTAAAAAACAAACCGACAGAGGGTTAGCGTGTTCTGTACTCTTATCGACAACGATATTCGTCATCGCAGTGGTCAAAATTCGATGTGGACTCACTCGGCGCCATCGTCAATAGTTAAAGGGATGGAGTAAGGTGAACATTAAGGTTGGGATTCTTCCGTATAAAAATCCTAACTTCGATCCACATGTCGCCAGATCATTCCGCTTTGGTAGAAGTGAGAAGGATAGGTTACGTGCTCTTTTTCGTTTTTGTTGTGATTCCGTTCATCGTCGAGATAAAATAAGATTATTGATGTTGATAATAATCTTTATTGAGGATATCAATTTCACCGTGAAGTGATTTACAAAAGATTCCTTAATGGAAAGCAGAAGAAAAAGATTGAAAGCTAATTATAAAAAAATAGTAATACGAAAAACGACCAAAAAAAATAATCATACATACAAACCAAGTCGACACGATACTGAGCCCGCAACCAAGGAATTATGAGGACAGTGGCTCATACAGAAAATTCTAAAGCTGCACGTCATGTATTTGTAAGTTTAGTGTAACTAATTGTTTAAAGATGGAGGTTTGTGTGTCCGGTTGTGTGTTCTCATCGCTGGTCTACGAAATAGAGAATAGCACAGGAGATGTTGTGAGTGCAGTATTGTCGATTGTTGAAATTACTTTGATTTGCAGTTTATGTTTTTTAATCCTGTCTTGTTAGGAGGGGCTCCTATTAGGCCAAATTACGAGCCGCATCACCAACACAATCACAGATTCACAATCCGAAAACTTGACACACGAGCGAGTTGCAAGTAAGTTCCGCATTTGTGTGCATGATCTCCCATCATTCTCCTCCAGGGCAATTGTTGGTTTCAATAACTCTTTCAATGTGTTTCCAATTACAGCGATTCAAGGGTTTGTTCCTTTTGGCAAAGTTCATAGGTAAGTGTAGTAAGTTTGCGATCAGGAATTTAGCGGAAGTGATTGATGATTGATCAAAGTTGGTAATTTTGTAATTATGCGAATATTATGCTCTTAATAACACGGCTACACGTGCCACATCGATTTGCTAACTTTTACGGTATTAGGTAGTTTAATAACAAGCAAAGACGTCTCATCGCTTGGAACGTAACACAACAAAGCGAAAATATGAAAATATCAGATCCTGAAATAACTGACGTTGTAACGTTGGTACTTGCTTGATAAAGAAAGAGTTTCTAAAACTGACGTTTCGAGCGTAAGCCCCACAGGGCTAAAGCTCGTAAGGTCACCTTCAGAAACTCTTTGCTGTGGTAAATTTAAATTATCAATTTAATTGATCAATCCAAATATTTTGTATTACCCCCCACTGACGCAGCACCTACAGTTCATTTAGAAAGTTAGCCCTTCATTGATTAGGAAAGAGTATGGCCTTTTAGAAAGAACCAAATGATCACGACTAAATTGAATGATTAAAACTTATGCTTGCCCACTCCAGGCCCCAGAAGGTTACTAATGTTAAGAAAAAGTATAGAAAGATTGATGGAAGCCCTAACATCCACCTAGGTGTTATTATAAGTAGTTGAAATTGGTTTGGAATTAACTGTATTTGAAAGAAAATATGTCTTAAGAAAATATGAGTTTTTCTATCTGCTATTTCTCAAAAAAATAGATAAACTCAGGATTACCAACCAAGTAACTGCCTTGTTGCATGACTGAAAAATGTGCTGATCTGAAAAAAAATATAAAAAAAAGCTGGAGTTATACCCATGGTCCCTCAATTCAAGGGTACTTAGATGTTACAAATTCATTTTTCAATTTTTTTTAACCATGGCCCTATAATGATTGATGATATTTATAATAATTTAATTTTTTTTCCAAACAGTTTTTACACTAATGTTGGGCACATAATAGAGGATGCCATATCTGAAGAACTTAATGATAATGAAAAGAGTGAAGTAAGTATGATTCAATAATTATTTTATGGGTTAACTTTTTTTTATTAAAAACTGGATCATTGGATAATGCAATTCAAGACTTTTTATTGGCTTAGCCGTTATGGTATATGAGCCAAGATACCATAATCTACAAATATGGTAAGTGTACGCGTCAGCTTGAAATTAAAAAAGAGCTAAAAAATTTAAGATTTGGTAAGATTTGTCTAATATCTCGGAGGCGTTTTTAATAAAACAATTATTCCACTCGCCCTTGTTGGATATGAGATGATTATAGCCAACGAGGCGTAAAGCGCCTCATTGGCTATCCGTCATCTTATATCCAACGCGGGCTCGTGGAATAATTGTTAATTATTATTAACCCATTACGCCCTAGTAGCTGTTAATTCTCTATATTCTTCTCTATACATTTCCTTGGGTACTGACGAGGAGAATTTGTTTAACAATCAAGCATCAGCTCTCATGATATTAATGAGAAATTTCACTCAGAGATCTTTTCAGTCCTTCTCCTTACTGTCTGCCAAACATTGCTTATAATTTTTGTTCTGAGAATCAAGTGTTGGATCAAATGGCAATCCCCTCTTTGATATATTTTTTTAATTCTCATTACTTGCCTTCTTGATTTTGTATTAACATTGTTAGGAGAAAGCATGTCTTAGTCATGGGAGTTGGAAGGTGAAAGCTGTAATTAATCACACTGATACATTGTGTTGTTATTTGCCATTGCAGAAAGTCATCGGTTGGTTTTCATTTCGACGTAATACTCAAGGCCAAGTGTCCATGAGGGAAAGATATATCCATCACAATCTTATTGCAAAGTTCAGCTATACCCCTTCCAAAGGTGTGGATAAAATACTCTATTCTTAGTGTTAATTTTCAGTCTTTGAAATATTCACAAACTCATTCTCACCAAATTGTACAAGAAATCATTTTGTTACTTAATATTTCTTGTGCAATTTGGTGTCTACACCAAATTGTACAAGAAATCATGTTGTTACTTGTTAATAATTTAAATAAAAAAAGCATCACAGAAAGTCAAGACAGACAAACTTTTGATAGGGCAAGTGTGCTATTTGTAATTTGCACTTTAACTGCAACTTTGTGCTCATGTTACAACTTTGCCTTCATGTTACATGTAAAATGCACTTGTGTTCAGCCAATCAGATGTGCATAATTTTTTCATGTATGTTAGTAACTTTGAAATCATTTAAATCAGAAAGTTAGTATTTTAAGCTGCAAGAAATACATGATTATTCTTTATTGTAAATATTATCAAGGAATGATGGTAATGGGAACATTTTTCCTTCTTTAAGAATTCCTTTTAGCAATCTTTACATCGCACATGTCCAGGGATCTTTCCTCACACAAATTTGAGTACTGCTTTTGTCGTTCTGCTGACAGAGAAGGGTATGCCTGAATTATATTACTTGTAAATTTGCATATTTTGGTTAGTTAATTCCAACAGAAGTTATTTTAAAACTTGGGAAATTATATATTAATCAATGATATGAAAAAAACAGGTTGTTGGTACTGACTCCCAGGTATCCAACATTCTATAACTGTATTGAACTGTATACAGAGGTGGGATACACATGTGTATAGCTTGTTTTGTTTACAAGGCTAAATTTTTATTGAGAAACAAATCAAAGTTTCTCTTGGCAGGTCTTTGTACATACAAAACTTTTGCTTTATACGGTGCCAGCATTTTTACTGGTGCCACGAACACAAAACTGACCAATCCAATTACACTCAACAAGCAATGAATGATATCTAATTTTTTTTCATCTTTGCTTTCTGTCATTCTGAGCACTTACCAGCACAATTTAATGTAGTCACTGAATAGTGCTGTGGTGGTTTCCTACTTTGTACTTAGTTCATTTTATCTGTGTAACATTAGTGACAGTCCTACCATACGATGTATTCAAAGGGAACTGTAGTCACTTAGCAACAAATGAGCACTTTAAATATTTTGACGCACCACACAACTAACATTGAATAGATTTGCATTAGCAATTTTGTGGCTTCAAAGTAAGACAAGTTGCAGAGAAGGTGCTCAGTTTGGCATCCCTTGAAAAACTTGTTTTCATGTCTGTTGCCTCAGCTGTTTTCACAATAAGGGGTGGGGATTTGTTTCTTTTTAAGTAACACTTACTGCAGAAATACAAGGCAGTTTCTTACAGATTTAACTTGTGCTGTGACAAAATTAAAGAGAAGAAAAACTACAACTAGACCTTTAATGCTGACCCTTTTTGGTTTGTGCAAATAACTGTTGTTTGTACCAAATTTCTTGGTGATTTTGAGATGAGATGGAAGTTTATGGCTTCCTTTTTTTTCATTTTGTTTGTGGACCTCTTTCCCAATGTTCTAGTCACACTCTTCCCTACAGGGTTTTTGAACCAGTTCAAGTACAGATATTAAACCTTGGAGATACATCACATTCTGAGTATAGACTTAACTGTCACTCTGCACAAGCTACATCTAGTCTTTTTCATGAAGTGATCGACTCTTACAGGTAACGTACAGAGATTAATTGTATAGTACATTATCCAGAATGTTGCTAACTAAATAATTACAATAATTTGTAGCTTGTGGATCCTTTTTTGTGGTTTTTCAGATAGCCCTTGATCTGCAAAATAGGTTTTTTCAGAAAAAACATTCAGGACAGCTTATTAAAAGGCTAGAAAAATGTTTTATCCTATATCTGATAGTTAGACCATTGCTGTAGAGGTGAACTAGGTAAAATTTGTAAGGAAATACTGAAATTACACTAAAAAAAAGGGTGACCAGCCTTGCATGATCAATACTGCAGGCTTTTTAAATTACAATTTTACACTAACTGTATGTTATATCCAATGATTGTTTGCCAGGTGAATTGTACTCAACGACTCTTCTATCATTTTTGTAGGAGTCAGATAAATTAAGTTTATTTGTGGATGGTTAATGATAAAGTGGTTTGATACTGTTTGTAAGACTTGATCTGTTATTCCCTACAGGAATGAGTTTGTTGATGACAAAGGATGTATACAACAGTCCTCCAACATGCACGGCATGTACATTACCATGATGAAAAGGCTACAGGTGTGGTTAAAAGTGTCTTGTACATTACATTTATTTAATGATTTAGTTTCCCTTTACAGGAGAGGTAAAGAGGGATTGCTAAGCAGGGATCCCTATATTCTTTTGTAAAGGACCAATCAAACCTTTTGAAGTACATGATATCTGTAGCACAAAATGCTCACGCAAATCTTCATTCCATCAGAATAACTCTAATGTATTTGCCAAAAGTCCCAAAAAGCAGTGAAGACTAGGTCAAGGTGATGGTTTTTGTATTCTGATACATCCTTGTTTACAATTCAAATATAGAAAACTGATCACGTGACATTGTGTACAAGAAAACCTAACCAGAAAGATCTAAAAATAACTCTTGCTGAGACAGTGATTAACTTTTGTAAAACCCATAATTATTGATTTTATCGAAAACACTGCACTCTCCATTAGGTTGATTTTTTTGTTACTAAAAGATGTTCATCAACATGGAAATGAGCTGAAGAGGGTTGTTATTATGTGGGTTGTAGGTTTCTGCAACTTATATACCTTGTTTTCTTCCCCCTGAGACTCAGAATCTTCAGTCCGTGAAAACAAATTTTTGCCCTCTTACAGCTCTACTTATCATTTTGCTGTTATTTGTTGGTAAAATATGTTTTACCATGTGTCATTGTTGAGTACAAATGGACAAAAATTATCTGTAAAATTAATTTGATAACAGATTTAAAATATTGTTAACTTAGCAATGAACTAACGTAGCCACAGTTACTAAGATATTGCAAAGAATCTTAATGAGAAAATGTGGTAAAGCTTTTCAGGTTAATGAAATCTGATTATGGATTGAAGCATAATATTATGGTTATGAGAAGGTTTAGCCTATGGGGTTGGTATTTGGATCTGTTTTGGGTAAGTTTAAGTAGGGTGCTAGAAATAGCTTGGATTTGAATCCTTGTTTGAGAAATTTTAGAGGTTTGTTTGACTACAGATGGTTTCTGTAAGCTCAAAATATCATATCCTGCTGTCTTAAATGTCTCTAAAATAAACACACTGTGCTCAGGTGAGAGTCCTAATATCTTAACCCCATTGGGCAGCAAATACCTGTACACTGGATGAAGTACCTACCTTTAAACTGAGTATTTTTGAGGAGTCCCTGCTGGAATTGCTCTGAACAGTATATAAACATACTTGTCTATTTGATTGTCATGAGGTAAGCAGTTTATTTTGCCTCCCAAGGATTTAGTTGAAGTTGTAAAAGTTAGTGAAACCACTGTGTCTTCATTGAATGAGGAAATAGAAAATAGAAGACAGGAACTGGAAGCATGTCGTATGGAACTTTCTAGGAAAAATGGTAACTAACACATCACTGTTTCTTTTTACTGCCATTCGATTAAGGGAGGAGAAACTTACAGAAACTGTAAGTCTATTGCTAAGGAAATCAAAGTTTGCAAAGTTTGTTTGATTCCATTAAAAGTTTTAATATTGCCATAATATCAGTAATCTCGGCAATCTTGTAAAACAGCATATTAATAGTTTTTATCCAATTTAATATTGTAGATAGATAGCTATTGTTTTTACTGAAGATTTTTACAGAGTTTAAATAAAGATACTAACAAAGTAACTAACTAACGGAATACTCAATCTTAACTATTTCCACTCAAGTCATACAGATGTTAATTTGAGGCAACTCTACTTTTCATTGTAACAGCGTCCAATGAAGTGGATGAAAAACGGCCTCTCCAGCCTAATTCTCTTTTAAGTGAATCCAAGCAGGAGAAAGAAGAAGCAAAAATAACTTTTGAAACACATGGGTCAGATTTGCCTGGTGATGATAACAATACTAAAGGTTCTGTTGTCACTAGTGATAATGAATTGGGAGAGAAAAACGACCAAGGAATTTCTGAGGAAAGTACAGATGCCGCTTCAGAAGAAGCACCAAAGGCGGACTCTCCCAGTTTGAACAGAAGGCGGAAACAAAAAACCCCTGCTAGAGTTGTTGTTCGTTATGTTAAGCCAGTAGTGGCTAACGATGATGATGTCACAGATGATGAGACACAGCCATATTCAATTGAGGATAAAATTACAGGAAGTGGACAAGACTATGAAGAAAAACTTTCTCAGAATCTTGCAATGGAGACATCATCACCAGTTTTCTGATAGTAGAGAAGCTATTTTAAAGATTCTTATGTTATATTAAAAGTTTTGACACGTTAACATCTTGCAACACATCTCCCAGTCAAAGTTTAGAAAAGTTGTAAAGAATTAGGCCTTTGTTAACATTATTATTCTGAAGTCACTGAGAGATTGCTACAAACTGTATTCTTATGATGTCCTTAAAGTTCACTTAGGTTTCAAAATAAGCTATATTTACAAGGCAAAAAGTAAAGAGTTTTAACTTTTTAAATATACTTTTACCTTGGAAACAGCTAGTTTTTTTCTATATTCTTGAGTTATGGTACAAAGGTAAAACTTGCTTACTCCTGGTTGGATGTGTTTCTAGAAACTTTTTCTTTCATCAAAAATTGTGTTTAAGAAATTCAAGTCTGCAGTGTTGTTGCAGATTAATAGCTATTATCAACAACAATGCGGTCAAATGTGGCATTTCAGACTTGGTAAAACTAGTACACTAAAAACAAGCTTTTTTTTTTTTTTTTTAAACTGATCAATCAGAAAATGATGGGGAACCTGATTGTGAATAAATTGATGACATTCATGTATGTTAGAACATGCATAATATACAAAGAATAGATGTTTTGCATGCAAGATTGAACCACTCACCCGGAATGAAAGCACATCTACTTCATTGGCTCTTTTACCATGTTGAAATAGGTTTCATTGTGGTTCCCCAAGGAACTTTGTTTTATATTGATAGTAAGCCCATAATAGGAACAAGTTGGTAGTGCGGTGCAAGATTGACTTCAAAGTTAAAAATAGTAGAACTATGTCATCTTGATGTTTGCTGTTTCTTTTGATTGGTGGGCTTTTGTCCAATTAGTTAAACTTATAAGCATCATTGTAGTCAAAACCTTTGCTCAGCAAACCCCAGCTGAAGGAGTAGCAAGTAGTCGGTCTACATAGTTAGGTAAGGAACTCAAGTCTCATAATTATACAGTCTTATTTTTGTACTTCTCTGTCAAAGTAAATTTGAATGAGACACTTAATGCTAACTGTGGGTTCAACTATCACACCAGTGCTAGCATTACAGGTCTGAGGTTACATTACTCTCATTGTTAACTTTACACATTTTTACACGAGAAAGACCATCAAAGTCCTGGTTTTATTTAAGGCTCTAAGGATTCACACCTCCAAGAAGAAAATAATTTCACCTGTGATCTGTTTATTAAACCTAAATAGTGAATCAAATGAAAATTAAAATCTGAAACATTTCACTAAACCTGTTTATCTTGTTCTAAGAGCACTGAAGTGTGGTAATTGAAAGTTGCAAAATTCCAAACAGGATAAACAGTTTCTATTCATAACCTGGCTATTGTTTTGATAACATTCCTTATTTTGTATTAGTCATTTTTTGGCAGAGTTTCATTCAATAATTGACATAGCTTTCCAGAGAGCAGCTCAGTTTAAACAGTCATAATACATGAGTAACCTTAATTTAACTTTTGAAGAAATGGTTACCGTATAATATTATTAACATGGCTGATATCCACGTCATAACAATGCAATTCTTCAGCTTTTGCAAATAAGAGATTGTTTAATATTAAAACTTGTATAATGAACTGTTGGTCTTTTTATAAATACAGATTTACTACTTATGGAGGAAAGACATTTTAAATTTTGCATGTTTTATGTAGTGAATACAGACTGGTCACACATTCTCTGTATATTGCAACACTAGAACAAAGCTGAATATATTATCTATTAAAAATGAATTGAAAAACAGTAGTTTGGCAGAACTTATTTATTCTACCCAGAGCATTTATACCATGCTCTCTTTTTCTCTCTCTTCCTGATATACCTTTTTTACATTTTGTATGTAGACCTGTCTCCAGTTCAGCCTAGACATGATTGGGAATAATCATGATAATTTTTTGAAAAGCTTCATGATACTGTGTGTATGATGCACGATCCTCGCAGTAGAGAGGTGTGATGTTAAATGAAAGATGAGGTTGTTGGGTATTGCTTCTAATTAATCAATAGATTTGGAGGAAGCAAGGATAGTGCTGTTATTGAAGTCCTTGCCTTAATAAATAAATGAATAAATATATAAATTGAGGCTCCCCCTTAGGGGCTTTTTAGCCACAATGTAAACTAAGTGCTTAAAAATACCCCCTGGCAGGAGGCAGACCAGTGGGCTATTTATAGAGCGCAGCTGAGGAGTTGAACTAGGGGCAACCGAGAACAAATCCAGCGAGCGGCGGGGTGGACGATTTGAACCCTTGCTATGAATTTGCTTATCATCAATGGTGGACTTTGCTTCATGTGAAGATTTGTTGTTGGTTTTGGATAGCATTTCTTCTCTAAGTTCTCTGCTTTTCCTCTCAAAAACCGGTATTCCAATCCTGACAAGTGAATCCACCTATAAAGCTCTCTAGAGTTAAACCTTTCCACGTACATGGGGCAGACAAATGGGTACATTTTATTTGAAAAGAAAGGTTATTCCTCAGAGTGAATGAGAGTGTTGTCATTTCCCACTGAACTGCTTTGTTGTCAGACAGTGGGGTGTTAACTCTCCATGTTGCTTCTTATACATTGTATCTACTACATTGAGTTGTTGCTTATGATGCATATATCTTATTAACCAAGCACGAGGGCTGTACTGGGAGAATATTGGCCCGAGGTCTTGACAGTATGGACCAAGCACAGCGAGGTCCGTACAAAAAAGACCAAGGGCCGATATTCTTCAAGTACGGTCCTGAGCAAGCTTGGTTAATAAGAGATTTATTATACGACTGAAGTTCAAAGGGACACAAGTGCAGTATCATTCGGGATAGTGCCCGGTCCACTACTGAGAGAATATTGGCCAGCAATAGAGCATTTTGATTGGTTGACTTTAGTTATTGGCCCTCTGACTGCCCGAGTTGTGTAATAAATTTTATTATCACCCCTCAAAAGTTTATTTTGAGATCAGTCCTACGTGTTTAGGCAGACATGTATGAGACATGAGCCTTCATTTACCAACAAGATGTCCATTTATGAAGGTGCTTGTTGTCACTGATGTGTTAATAGAATGCCAGTTTGGTCTGTTGCAGTACTTTCAGGGACAAAATTGGATGTGTTTCATCATGTCTTCTTGATGGTTCAATCTGCCTTGTCAACAAATCTTGCTTTTATGTTTTATAACATTTTTGTTTCAAAAAAATCTTAAAAGAACAGAAATTTAATCATATTTTGAACTGATGTTTTTTGTTAAAATATATCAAATCCAAAACCACTTGAACTGTTCTCTTTGGAATGTGGACATAATGTCACAAGGTTGTTTAACATCAGTACACCTGTCCATTTGATAGAGTGGTTGGTAAAGTACAGGTTCTTAGGTTTAAGTCACAGATTCTAATGGTAAAATGTTCTCTTTAAAGAAAAAAATTTTCCTCACACTTTCCATGATGTGAAGATTGCACCAATTGAGACATATCCGCCAGGAAAAGTTTTGTTTTTATTTACCTGTGGGCAAGAAGCTGTTGTAAAATGATTGTGAGATGTTTATGGTCCTCTGTAGTTTTATGGCAAGGACTAAAAAAATTAAATCTTGGGTTTTGTTAGGCACAAAATTCCGTGTTTCCAAAGATATTCTTCTTTCTTTAGTGTATGATGCACCCAGTTATCTCTAATGGAAATAATGAACTACAAAGATACTTCAAAACAAACAATTGGGTCAAAATCAGGTGAAGTTCAGCATTCTATTGTTACCCTCACTCACTCACTTAGCCACTCTTACATTTCCATGGCATATGAAATAACATATATGGCTTTGCCTCCTGTAGTGGGCAGTAGCCACAAAAAATGAAAAAAAAATACAAAAATGAAAAAAATGAAAGGAATATGACAAGAGTGGTGATTTAGTTCTCACGTGCCCTTAATACTTTGTCTAAAGAGTCAAGTTCAACAAAGAGATACTGGGATCAGTTTTAACTTTGATTTTATTTACAAAATAGTAATGTTGGTGTAACCAGGGCCGGTAGGCTATTTCTAAATTGCTGCTAGAATAACTTTGGGTCCTCATGGAAGGCAAGGTATTTCATGGTAACAGGCATGAAACCTGAAAACAATCAAACAGAGAAATAAGGAATTGTTCACATCAGAGCACATAAGTTCTAAACATGCAGTTACATGTAACCCTTAAACACCTAAGAGTGATAAGCTTCTGATTATTTCTCCCAGCAATATGACCCCTGAATCAAGGAAATGATCCCAACTGAGGTCAAGATGCTCCTGATTATTATGCAAATTCTCCTTGAAAGTACCATAGGAAATACAGAGAGCATAAATGGAATATGGTGTTTGAAAACTACTGTAAATCCTCTAATATGTCAGTAAATCCTCTTATTCATTTCAGGTACTTTGGCAGGGTGGCTTATTAGAGGGAGGGGGAATGCTTATTAATTAAAAACTTGATACAGAACTCAATTTTATGATCTAACTCCCTCAATGGACCTTGTTTAGCCATGTTATATTTTTAGCATCGCTCTGTAATTTCTGTATACTGTATTCTATTGATGCCAACATGATAACATCAATCATCACAATCAATTTTAAATGAAAAACTAAAATTACAGTACTTGAATAAATTTAACATACTTCCCAAAATGCAGTGTTATTTTGAATTTTTGTTTTTGTTTTTTTTTTTGAGGGGAAGGGGTGGGGGGCTTAATAAAGGGGTTTAATAATAAATTTCTTCTGCTAAAAGGGGGGGCTTATTAGAGGGGGGTGTCTTATTATAGGGGGGGGGTTAATAAAGGATTTACAGTAATGTTGGGGTATGAGGGGTAGAAATAATTGACTCACTCCTTACCCATGGCTCTAGCTCTTCTGATGGCCTTGGCAATTTCTTTTTGTTTTTTAATACATAAACCTACCATGACAAGAATTATACAGTTACTGGAATGGTATACAACATAAACAAGAAAGTAATGACTTGAAATAGTTAATTTTGTAGGTGATAAACAAACTAACCCGTAAGAGTGCGTCCATATATTCTTCCAGTATGAGGTGAAACAAACTGAGACAGTAAACGGACATTCTGTGTGTACACAAAAAATAAATTATAAATATAAGAGGATAACTATTACCTCAGTATTCACACATGCACTTCACAAGCTTGACTGCAATTGTTGACTAAACTGACCCTGAATTTTAAACTGTGACCTCCTAAAGACCACGCAAGTGGTAATTTAATAACTTACTTTGTAGTCAATTTCTACATCTCCTCTCATAGGGCAAAGTAAACAGCCTGTTGGCCTGTCTTCTTCATCTAACCTCTGATCAAATAAAGTGAAAATTAAAAAACTAGTTTACCCCTGCAGGATTGCTATTATATCACACTTCAATCTGTTCAACTATTCTCATGAAATATTACTACCAAAGTACTTACTTCATTATATTCAATATCCTGTACCACAGTCAGACAGGGCAATTGACAATTAATACTTTCATTATATAAATTATTTTTACTTTCTTCTCTTCTTGTTTTCATTTATTTTTCTATACAAAAGATCAGTCATTTAACACTTGTGTTCAACATTACATAAAAATATTTAATCACCTGGTAGCATTATTTTGTAAAGAAGTTGCTGTGCTACTTTGGTTGATTGTCAACAACAAATGTAAGCTGGTAGAGGATGATAAGTGGAGGCGTGGTGGCCTCATGGGTAGTGCGCTTGACTCCAGATCGAGTGGTCCGGGTTCGAGCCCCGGCCAGGACACTGTGTTGTGTTTTTAGGCAAGACACTTTACTCTCACAGTGCCTCTCTTCACCCGGGTGTATAAATGGGTACCGGCAATTTAACGCTGGGGGTAACCCTGTGATGGACTAGCATCTCATCCAGGGGGGAATAGAAATACTCCTAGTCGCTTCATGCTACAGAAACCGGAGTTAAGCACCGGCCTAATGGGCCACTAGGCTCGTAAACAGACTTTACCTACCAGAGGATGATAAGCAATTTCAGCTCATTCTCAGAAGCTGAAGTTTTGAATGTCATCCATTTCTTGGATAAAATAGCAATTTGCACCAAAAAACTGCCAATGCATGAAACCTCAGCTGTTTAAAACTTGCTACTGTGGTTTACCCCACTTTATAATTTAACTTCTAGAAGACAACCACCAATATTTTGTAAACATGTCATCAACTGTTCAAATCAACACTGCATGCTAGTCGCCATTGAAAGGTTTAAGGTAATCATTCCATCAGAAACACCTGTCAGTGACCTGGTAACCTTATGAGCCAAGTATAAATCCACTAGGTTTGGTAAACTTATGGGTTTCTTCAAACTCACTGTTAAAAACAGAAGTGCAACATGTTCTGTCACACATACCTCTAGTTTGGCCTGTAACTGGTTCAGTTTAAAGCGGCGAAGCATCCTTTTTCTACGGGTGTTGTGATATTGTTTATTATCTGCAAAAGAAATCCTTTTTAAGCTAATTTCAATTTATGATACAAAAAAGATGTAACTAATTTAAAGTAACCTTGCGCTATACATAATTTCGCTATGAAGCATCACTTAAAACGAAAACTAGAACGAGTTAATCTTGCTTACCTGACATGCTTACGTGAAAACTGTGCCTTAATACTGCTGGAAATGAAGGAAGAGGGGCTAAAAAGTTACTCTTGTTTTTCAGTGCTAGAGAAATTAGTGGAGATCCACAGAATACTTTCGATACTCTGATGGCCGCCATCTTTAATTTTTTTAATGGAGCCGCTGAGATGGCGGGCTCATAGAAGATCATCTCCAGGATTTAACGATATTTGTAACTAATAACGCCTGTTACTTTTTGCATAACCCTTCACTAACATGGCTGCGTGCCGTGTAGCAGCGATGCGAACTATCGCAAGATGTCGATCTTTTCAAACGTATCGTGCATTCTCCACGGGTTCCACGTCTCGTGCCTCCGTTGCTGTGGTAAGTACAATGGTTTCTAAATTCTGAAAGTATCATAAGGGGCGTTAATTAATTGGACTCCGAAGAAAGCATGGAAATCAACCATCATTGTTTGCAGTTATTTTAATTAGCATCTATCAACAACTTGCATTACTTTTCATCTCTTACAAAATTATTGATCGGAACAATAATTAAAAGTTAGTCGTAATATTATTTATATTGATTATTGATTTTCAACGTTTAATTTAAATGTACCTTCATATCATATAATAACTAAATTGCACACCCTTTTCTTTTCTTTTTTTTTTAATTCTCCATTTCTATCAAATGTATTTGCTTTCACGATAAAGTTAACCAAACAGATTCCTTTTGCTTTCCATCTCTATGACGAATTGACTTCATGGTGCCATGCATCTGTTCATTAATAGATTGGTGACTTGCTTAGCTGCATCTTGTTTGCCACTTTTTGTTCTTGCCACATTTTGATGTCTTTTGTGATCTATTACAGTACAGACTCATGGCAACATGAATTATATTCGTTTCATGTCACAAAAAGCAACATGTTGATGGCGAGGTCTCTGTGAGTATGTCCTCTAATAAATCTTAACCAATCAAAATGTATGCATAATTCAGCTTATTATATATTCAGTTATAGATTGCAGATGACCTCCTTCCAAAAAAACATTTGCCGTGTAATTAATTTTGTAGGTGTTATCTGGAAATGGAGTTTTTGATGGCGCAGAGATTCATGAGGCCTCAGCGTAAGTATTCTTTGGTGGGGTGCCATATATTAGAAAATAATACATATTTTCCTCCAGATCTGGATAATTTGTGCAGTAGACTTTTTTGGAATATGAATGGTTTTAGTTACATTACATGGACATTTTAAGGAAGATTTTATACAGTACACTGTATAAAAGTGTCTGAACAGCTTATTGCTTAATTATAACCTGTACATGTTGATGGAATCAAACCAACATATTTGCTAAACTCTTAAAATCTGTTGAAAACCCTGAGATGCTCGGTTGTCCTTAAATGATAAGAGCTGAGTGCAATGTTTCATGATATTGTTTGATTCGCTATATTGGAATCAGACTCTTAGTCTGTTGTTTCAATTCTGTCCTCGAATTAGTTTTCATGTCTGGGTGGCCCCAGTTAAAGTAGATGTACTGGTCTAGATAATTTGATAATATTTTATTTTTATTCTATATAAGGGTACTGGTTCACCTGAGCCGAGCTGGAGCTGATGTGAGTATATATGCACCAGATATTCCACAGATGCATGTCTTGAATCATGCTAAAGGAGAAGAAATGGAGGGTGAGACCCGGTGAGAAATGACTAACTTGTCATATTATTTGATGGGGACGTTGGGATTTTTAGTTTTGTGGCTTTGGTCATTTTTTAGATTGGGTTTTGGTTTTTGTGCCAAATATCCTTTTGGTTTCAGTGTTCATTGTTGTCTGCAGATTTTCCTTTTTTTAGCTTTTGGTTTTGGGTTTTGGGTTTTCCTCAAAAATATCAACAGGTTTTCAGATTTGGTATCCTCTGTGGTTTTTGCTTTTTCCTATTTTGGGTTCCAGTTTCTCTTTGATCTGAGGGGTAATTATGGGCCTCCACAGCTGATCTCAAATAGCTGTGAAACCTCTCTTTATTCCACTTTTCACCACTATATTGGACCAATTAGGGTTTTGATAACTGGGATGTGAAAACATATCAGTTTTGATGGTTCTTGTTCTGCACACCATTTTTCTGTTTTGATCAATTTGTTTTTGCAGTTTTGTGGTCTTGGATGATTTTTCTACAGTTTTGCAGTTTCTAATAGACCCCAATGTGTCCCTCTAATTGTCAGTGATAAATGGAGACCATTAAATGAAGAGGCCAAATGAGTTAGAGAAATAGTTTCAAAAGCAATTTTTTTCAAAGGAATTTGGTAACATATCAGTTCTTGAGATACCTTTTGATCAGCTGATTTTGACAGTTTCTATCTACACCTTTGCACCATTTACTTGATCCAAGTTGGCATGTACTTTTCCCAGCTTTTTGTTTTTTGTTGTCAAAATTTTCACTTTTAGTCATTTTTTTCTAAGAAAAGTTGAACCTTTTGACCCCTAAGAGTGACTTGTGTATAATTTCTCCTTACAATATCACTCCTGAATCACACATTAAGGTCAGGAGAATTAAGGAAATGATCACTAAGGAAAGAAGCTCTACTTGATTGATAGACAAATTCTCCCTGTCAGAATCTTAGGAAATGTATAGAGAAGAGTATGGGGAATTTGCATACTGATGTTAGGGTGTAAATGGTTAATTTAACCAGTAAAAGCTCTGGACATCTCTTCAGCCTTGGTAACATCAATGTTCCATTCTGGAAAATGGGTGATGCTGAAGAACCATATAAGGAATTAAGACTGACAGTACTTTATACTGATAAGTAAACATGTGCTAACTATGTATACGTAATTTTAAAAATGACAACTTTTACTTTTAGAAATGTCTTGGTTGAGTCTGCCAGAATAGCTCGTGGAAAGATCACTTCTCTTGCCAATCTTGATGCTGCTTCCCATGATGCTGTTGTTTTTCCAGGAGGGTTTGGAGCAGCAAAGAACTTGTAAGTCAAGAAACTCATCATTATAGGTTTGTAATATTTTTCGCTGCAACATCTGGATTAAAAAGGTGTATGAGATGAAGTCCATTTCTCTATTTTTTGAAAAAAGAATCATCAAATATAAATTTGATCAAATTTATTCAGACGCTATGGAACTGGGAGAAACCAGTGGGGCTCTCCTGCTTGTTTTCTTTGCATCCCTTCCCCAAAGCCTGCCGAGGTGACAGTTTTTTCAGGTGTTTGATGAAAATTGAGGAGGGGATGCAGTGAACATGAGCAGGAGAGCTTTTACTGGTTTCTCAGTTCAGTTTTCAGTTCCATGGTGGTTTCTCCTTCTTCTAACTGTCTAACTCTTAAGAGTGACCAGCTTTTAATTTCTCCTTACAGTAATTCTGCCGAATCATTCACTAAGATCGTGATGACAGAGAAAATGATCACCAACCTAAGAAACTTTGATTGTTAAATTAATTCTCCTTATCAGTACTAAGGAAATGTTTAGAACAGAGTGCGGAGAATATGCATACTGATGCTAGGGTATAAGAGGTTAATGATTTCTTAGCAGCTTTGCTACTCATTTTTGTGACACTGTCACTCCTTTTGAGGGATCTGCTGCGTGACACTTTGAAGTGTGTACAATGCAATCAGTTACATGAGCTAACTATTAAGGTGCAGAAACTCCTAGGCGATAAAGATTTTTGGATATGTTTATAACATTATATCAGTGTTAATAATTAATTAATCTTTATTTTTATGCAACATGTAGTAGGCAATGTTTGTATTTCATCAGGAGTTCCTTTGCTGTGGATGGTGCAGGCTGCACAGTTAATGAGGAGGTGGCAAAATGTATCAACAATTTTCATGCTGCCAAAAAACCTATTGGGTGAGAGCACTATTGAATTATTTAAATTCTATTTTTATTCTACTCTGATCTCCTAGGTGTTTCAGATTTATAACATGTTTATAACATAATAGTCATAGCACAAATCATCTTATCGGTCAATTCAGTTTCTAAGCGGATGTTTTATCAGGTTATGTGGAGGCGCGGTGGCCTCATGGTTAGTGCGCTCGACTCCGGATCGAGTGGTCCGGGTTTGTGCCCCAGTTGGGACATTGTGTTGTGTTCTTAGGCAAGACACTTTACTCTCACAGTGCCTCTCTTCACCCAGGTGTATAAATGGGTACCGGCAATTTAATGCTGGGTGTAACCCTGCGATGGACTGGCATTCCATCCAGGAGTGAGTAGAAATACTCCTAGTCGCTTCATGCTACAGAAACTGGAGTTAAGCACCAGTCTAATGGGCCACTAGGCTCATAAACAGACTTTACCTTATCAGGGTATAGAGACTGCATGTAACTAGGTTTGTCATAAAAGCAATAGAACCCATTTTTTTCTGGGCTTTATTACCTGCTAAAGCCATTTGGGATGTTGGGAGAACACTCAAGAATATTAAAAAATCACTCACCTTCGTCTCATGATTTTTAAGCTTTCCTTGTGTTCTCCCAACATCCTGCATGGCTTTGTCATGTTATAGAGTCCGGAAAAATGTGTTTTGTTGTTTAATTAGCTCCATCTCTGTATGCCTCACTCCCAGTGTGTGTCTTTGTAGCTCAGTTGGTAGTAATGCCCAACTAGTCCCTGGGAGGCATGGATTCAAATCTCTCTGAGGCCTAAAATTTTTAAGGGTTCTTTTCTGCAGTTGTTTTAATTGCAGCTCACCTGCATTAGGATCATGGTTTTTGATTTCAATCTGTAGGTCAAATGACATTCATTTCATTACAGATTGTAGCTGCATGTTCAGTATGATCTATCATTGTATCGTTGGCAGTGCCATTGGTCATTATGAAACGAATCCTGTGTTCTGATTGGCTACCCTGCTTGCTTTGATCTTGTGCAATAAAGAAAATTGCTTGGAGCAGACTTACAAAAGAGTTCATAATAGCTCGTTTGGTCCAGATGGCTGGATATTAGCCTTGTTCTTTTTTAGCGCTTTTATGAACCTTGACTCCGTCTCAGGCCACAGAAACGTAAAAAAAATAACTCAGCCAATATCCAGCCATTTTGACCTCATGCTTGGTCAATAACGCATATATATTGAAGAATCTCTCCATTTGACCGTATGTTCTAAAATGAATATCCAAATATTTTTAAAGCAAAAGAGCACTATTTTTAACCTAATTTTACCTTAAATAAGACGTTACTTGTGTTTTCATTCCATAAAAACAATAGTACAATTTTGCAATAAAGATGAAAAGCAGCCAAAACAAAAATTGCATATCAAAAATGTTGTCATCTTGTTTCATTTCAGTCTTTGTTGCATTTCACCAGTGTTAGCAGCCAAGGTTGGTTTACTTCATAGAATCTTGTTATATTTAAACAAATTTCAACAACTTTGTATTGCTTTATGTAGATTCCAATCTCCTTTTAGAAAAATATGGCTGAAGTAAGTGAGCAGGCTCGTTACATCTCTTAAAATTGATATCTGACATGGAATATTTATCATTGTCAGCTCATCCCTGGCGTTGAAATAACGGTAGGACAGGACAAGGATGATGGAGGCCGCTGGCCATATGCGGGTACTGCAGACGCTGTGCAACAGATGGGAGCAAAACACATAAACAAAGATGTCAACATATCCTTTAAAATTGTGTTGGTTCGGCACCAAGCCTGTGTTAATACGTATAACAATGAAACACAAAGAAGATGTGGGATTCAATGACGTTACAATTAAATCCCAAACAGTGTGCACGACTCGGACACAATCAAACACAGAACAGATTGCGCTTTTCACTAAGGTAACAATAAAACGTAAAACAAAGAGTGCATGTCACTAAACAAACAATCAAACAGAAAACGTAACGTTAAAATCAGAATAAAAAACAGAATGCGCGAGTTACTCACCTAACAATCACACAGAAAACAGTATGAACAACTCATACTGTGCCAACGTAACAATCAATCAGAAAATGGAATGCGCTAGCCACTTACTTAACAATCAAACAGAAAACAGATTGCGCTAGTCGCTTATGTAACAATCAAACAGAAAAGAGAACGCGCGAGTCACTAACGTAACAATCAAACACAAAAAAGAATGCACGAGTCACTTATGTAACAATCAAACACAAAACAGATTGTACTAGTCACTTGCGTAACAATCAAACACAGAAAAGAGTGCGCGAGTCACTAACGTAACAATCAAACACAAAACAGAGTGCGCGAGTCACTTATGTAATAATCAAACAAAACAGAGTGCGCGAGTCACTAACGTAACAATCAAACTCAAAAAAGAGCGCGCGAGTCACTTATGTAACAATCAACACAAAACAGAGTGTGCGAGTCACTTATGTAACAAACACAAAACAGAGTGTGCGAGTCACTTACGTAACAATCAAACTCAAAAAAGAGTGTAACAGTCAAACACAAAACAGATTGTGCTAGTCACTTACATAACAATCAAACAGAAAAGAGAATGCACTAGCCCCTTAATAATCAAACATAAGTATGATGCACGATCCTCGCAGCAGAGAGCGCTATTTATGCAATAGCGAAAATCAGACCTGAAAAAAATCAGGCCTGTACGGGACTCGAACCACTGACCTCTGCGATACTAGTGTAGCGCTCTACCAATTGAGCTAACAAGCCAACTGGGAGCAGGCCGTTAAGTTGATTCGTAATAAACCCGTGATGATAAATCAAATGAACATATGAACTTCATATATTCATTGTATTTAATCAAACATAAGACAGATTGTGCTACTCACTTACTGAACAATCAAACAGAATTCGCGAGTCACTTATTTAACAATCAAGCAAAATAACAGAATACGCTAGTTGCTTACCCAACAATCAAACAGAAGACAGAATGCGCTAGTTGCTTACCCAACAGTCAAGCAGAAGACAGAATGCGCTAGTCATAAAGTTAACAATAAACAAAAAATCGCGCTGGTTGCGGACGTAACAATTAAACCGAGAACAGAATGCTCGAAACATTTACATAGCGATGACAAAAAAAAATAGAATGCATGTATCGCTTACGTAACAATCAAACAGAAAACAGAACGCGCAAGTTACTTACCTAGACTTCAACTGGGAAAAAAAGAAAATGCGCTAGTCACTTACGTAACAATCGAACAGAAAAGAGAATGCGCGAGTTACCAATGTAAGAGGTACGACGAAATCAGGATGCGCGGGTTACTAAATTAACAGTCAGACATTAGGCAGAATGGGTGAGTTACCAACGTAATGATCAAGACAGAAGAAGACAATGCGCGACTTACCAACGTAATAATCACACAGAAAACAGAATGCGCGAGTTACCAACGTAATAATCACACAGAAAACAGAATGCGCAAGTTAACAACGTGATAATCAAACAGAAAACGGAATGCACAAGTTACCAACGTAATAATCACACAGAAAATAGAATGCGCGAGTTACCAACGTAATAATCACACAGAAAACAGAATGCGCAAGTTACCAACGTAATAATCACATAGAAAACAGAATGCGCGAGTTAACAACATGATAATCAAACAGAAAACAGAATGCGCAAGTTACCAACGTAATAATCACACAGAAAACAGAATGCGCGTGTCACCAATATAACAACCTCGCAGAATACACAGAGATTGCGCAACTTACCAACGTAATAATCACACTGAAAACAGAATGTGCGAGTTATCAACGTAATAATCACACAGAAAACAGAATGCGTGATTTCCCAATGTAAGAAGTACGAAGAAATCAGGATGCGCGGGTTACTAAATTAACAGTCAGATATTAGACAGAATGGGTGAGTTACCAACGGTAGGATCAAGACAGAAGACAGAATGCGCGACTTACCAACGTAATAATCACACAGAAAACAGAATGCGCGAGTTACCAACGTAATCATTACACAGAAAACAGAATGCGCAAGTTACCAACGTAGTAATTACATAGAAAACAGAATGCGCGAGTTAACATGATAATCAAACAGAAAACAGAATGCGCAAGTTACCAACGTAATAATCACAGAAAACAGAATGCGCGTTACCAATGTAACAACCTCGTAGAAAACACAGAGATTCCTCAACTTACCAACGTAATAATCACACCGAAAAGAGATTGTGCTAGTTACCAACGTAATAATCACACAGAAAACAGAATGCGCGAGTTACTTACGTAACATCTTCACAGAAAACAGAATGTGCGAGGCGAGTTACCAACGTGATAATCAAGACAGAAGAAGACAGAATGCGCGAATTTCCAAGATAGTAATCACACAGAAAGCAGAATGCGCGAGTTACCAACACCATGATCAAGACAAAAGACAGAATGCGCGAGTTAACAACGTACCAACTTCACAGAAAACAGTATGCGCGAGTTACCAACCTAATAATTTTACAGAAAACAGAATGCACCAGTTACCAATCTAAATACTGCACAGAAAACACTGAGACTGCCCTCGTTACTAACGTAATGATCAAACCGAAAGCAGAATGCGCGATTTACTAACGTAACAATCACAGAAAACAGAATGCGCGCCTGAGTTATCAACCCAGCAATGACACAAAACAGAAAGTGCGAGTGATCAGAAAACACTGAGATTGCGCGAGTTACCAACGTAGTAATCAAACAGCAAACAGAATGCGCGAGTTACCTACGTAATAATGGTACGCAGAAAAACAGGTTTTGTGAGTTACCAACATAAGAATCAAACGAAGAACAGTGCGCTTGTCACTAACGTAGCAATCAAACAGGAGATAGAGTGTTCAAGTCACTTAGTTAAACTTAGTAATTAAACAGTGAACACAATGTGCGAGTTACCGACATAAAAGTTAAACCGTAAAGGCGAATTTTCGAGTTCTTAACACAAATCAGAGCGTACGAGTCACTAACATAGGAAGCAAGTTAAAAATGGAATGCGCGAGGTACTAACGAAACATTTAAACAAGGCAAAGTGCATGAGTCCCTTGATCACATTACTTAACACCAAAAAGGTGCGCGAGTCGCTAAAACTAAAGTCAAACAGAAGACAGACCCCTAAGTAACCGCTAACGCAGAGATAAAGCACAGTTAAATTCAACATAGAATTCGTTTAAGTGTTGAATGCGTTTGTCCGCTACGTAACAATGAAAAACAACAAAGTCTGAGAGTAGCCATCGTAAAAGTGAAACAAGGACTAGAGTGACAAGTCATTTGTGAAACAAACAAAGGTAAATGAGAGAGCGAGAGAAACCAACTTGCAAATGAATCGTAAAAAAGAGTACGCGAGTCTCTATCGTAGCTATTAGACAGAAAAGGGTGCGAAAATAACCAACGTAACAACCAAACTCCGAATAGAGTGCTGTATCACTGGTGTAAATCGTAGAGAAAACAGAGGGCACTGCAAGGTAACGCAGCAATAAATAATGGTAATTGAATTTAAAGGATAACCGATTTTGAAGGTAACTTTTTCCCTTAACTTCTCAAAAGAAATTCATGTGGACCAACAGAACAAGGTTGTTACAACTCCAGCATTCATGTGCGAAACAAAAGTCCATGAGATACACGATGGTATCGGCAAGATGGTAGAGGCGATCGTGAAGATGGTTTGATTTCACGTAAATGTCAACATGTAGGGCATTAATACAAGCACTAAAAAATTAGTGCTCGTATTAACCCGTAGAGGTGATACCTGTAGTAAAGTAGCTAAAGAGATAAAGAGATGGCCATCTGTAATGGGGAGCGGCGTTGAAGCTTTACCAAATACAGCAAGTTTTAACCAGATAAAGGTAATAAATTAACATTGTTTTCTCTTGAGTCTGGTATTGATTTCCTCCGCGGACTGGATACTGGGATTCTGAAAAACGTTGGACGTGATTGTTTATTCCTGATGGGTTTAATATTAGCAGTGGAAACCCCATAGCCTTATCTCACCTGATACTCGTTGTATAAAACTCTTAAGGAATGGGTTGTTGTTTACACACGAGTGAAACAAACAGACTTGCCATTGCGCGAAGAAACGAGTCCAAGACTTGTCCAAAATGATTTAAATGTAAAGTCTTGTTACCCTGTCATGTCCGTCTAAATTGCGCTTCATTTAGGTGTAATTTAGTAGGATTTGAACTTCAGTTGTGGAACCCAAGCTAATATCGCAGTTCAGTTTAATTCAATCAAATATTTGCTGCTGCTATCCAGTCCAAATTAAACCTACCTTTAGCTGCTGGAATTTAGGCCTGTCCAACTAGTCCAATCCATTCCAAACCGGCCCTGTCCTTAATAAGAGGCCGTTTACTCAAACGTCGAGCTGCTCCTGGTATCAAGAGAACTTTCTATTCTCTGCCTAATACGGTCTAATACATATCTGTTGTCTGTACTCAACCCCTTATGACTCAGAGTTGTCCACTTTGAAGGTCCCTTCCCTCTCCTCTTCGGAGTAGTAGCAAATGATCTCATCCTTGCTGTTCTGTAAATAGAATACCTAGGAAAAGAATGGGGCTCTGAACCTCGTAGTTAGGTCTGCACCGCGGGTAAAGCGAGTCCCTTTCGCGTCGAGCATGCGAGAAATCGTACAGGACGTATCTCGTTCCAGGCCCTCTTGGTTTGTCCTTTTATGTGACATAACACAGCATATGCAAGAGTACACGAACGGAGCTGCAGCGCTGTGAAGCAATTTCAGTTTTGTCCGGTAAGTAATGCTAGCTTAAATTGATCAGATGAGGTTTTTATTCGAAACGCGAATTATCCCGTTATGATCTGCCAGCGATCTATAGCACACAACCGACTTGAATTGAGGTTTGCGACAGCACTATTGTTTTGAAGAAGTTTTACCCACAATCATCGAACTTCTTAAAAAAAATAACCTGTCTCTGCCCTCTCACCACATTTTCAAGCAGGATTTCTCTTTGCTCTATACATGCTATGTTCTGAACACATTATGTATAAATGATTGGGACTGTTTAGAAGTTTCAGGAAGTTCCTGTACATCATTTTACCGATCACATGATTAGCACGCACACTCGTTCTGCGGAGTACATTACAGCGTAGAAATTGCTCGTTTTACAGAAAATGGTTTGTTTGATTTAAATCGTTTTCACTTAATTTTATGAAACAAATACACTAGCCCGTGAATGGAGTACATTGTTCCTCATTTGGTGTGTAATATAATAGACTAGATAAGGACGGGAGTTACGAAAACAAATACCCTCGAAAACGAAGACCTAAGACCCGGTTTTCGTTTTCGTAGTACGAAAACGAAGACCCTGTAAACAGAAAACCGTAGAAATTAGAAGTTAAACGCACATTAAACAGTAACAACACCTAGTAATATAATACATTACACTTCACGCGTTTCTTCCCATTATTATACTGCCCGTATTATACGGCCCGTCTTGTCTGTTCTGTTTAGCTATGCGAGCCAATTTGGTGTTGATATTCTTGAGGGTTTCCTCGCGTAAACTTACCACACATATTATTATTCTGGAACAGCAGGCAGAATTCTATCGCCAGCCGCCTTTGATTTATACTTAGCATTGCGTGACAGAATAACAGAGAAAGCGTTCTGTACAGGAAAAATGAGTTTTGGGTTCTGTCAATAAATAATACATACATACATACATACATACATACATAGTTTATTTGATGACGCAGGTTACAGAAAACGCAAGACTGAAGTCCCGATGTGGACCTGCCTATCTACTATTTAAAAACTAAGGTGTATACATGTGAATAAATAGAAAGTCAACAGAAATTAAACAATAAGTAATAATAATAGTACAAATATAAATAGATAGGACTATGAACTACAATTTAAGAATATAGTTAAGAACTAGGTAAAATAATTGTCAAAGTTTTAAAAATTTAGGTATGATTTGATTAAGATGAGATTAATAAAGAAATTCCTCATTCCTATTTCTTATCATGGAAGATTCCTTATTATAACTTATAGAATTAATTAAGTCCTTACTAGATCTAAGTCTTTTTTTAAAACATTCTAAGCTAGAAGACTTTTTGATCGAATCAGGAAGTGAATTCCATGCAATGGCAGCTCTATGCCTAAAAGTCAGCCTGCCAATTTCTGATTTAGGACTTGGAAATTTAATATTCATGGATTTCCTCAGGCAGTGAGATGATTGTTTTAACATTACTAGATCATTTAAAACATTGGTATTGCATCTATAGTAAGATTTATAA